CTTCATTCTTCTTCACCACTCTTGATCATTTCGCTAACAGAGCGAAAGTATTTTTGTTTCTTGTACGCGTTCATCCATAGACTTTGATAACAGAAGAATCAAATTTGATTTCGATTCAGTAGAAATGAATATTACGAGCCCGATTCGTTGTTGCTGCGCAAAAGATTGAAAGGTAAAATCATTACTTTCGTAAATTCACTTTCACGTTGATAATACATTTATTGGATGCAGAAATGGGAATCAATGAAACATTCGCTTTTTGAAGGCAGTCGATATATTAAACGATCTTTCGGTGAAAATTAGACGAATTCTGAGAAAGGGGCAATAATTCTTGCATTTCTTTACTTCAAGTCGTGAATTAATTGATAACACGAAGTTGTAGAATTTAATATAAAATCAGGGGAAACGTATTAAAAGTTTTGTATGATTATTGTCACTGTAAGTGTGAGTTTGATACAGTTTAACATATCGATGGTAATTATTTATAGAATCATTCATCTATACTAAATCGGAACAAAATTTCATTCTCCTGGTACCGAGTCTGACAACGAAGGTAAATGAACGCATAACGAAGAAAAATTGTCTCGTTCTATCAAGGAAATAATTGAGAACGAAGAAGTGCTAATCGACGTAGCTGTAAAAGAAATCGTAACGTAAGCGGTTAAGTTGTCTCAGCAATTAATATCAATGAAATCTATAAAACATTGTGTGTGTGTGTGTGTGTGTGTGTGTGTGTGTGTGTGTGTGTGTGTGTGTGTGTGTGTGTGTGTGTGTGTGTGTGTGTGTGTGTGTGTGTGCTCTTTGTTTTTATATATTTCGGATACAACGAGTATGCAGATTTATGCGATCGAATATACGTATACGATTTTACGGAGGGTCAGTCATGAATAATTTGAAGACGGAAGCTCGGCCAGAATTTATCGACTGCTCCGTAGAGTAACAAGGCTGGAAATATCCAAGACCGCGCGCTAAAATAATAAACAAGTTCGGTAATTGTTCGCGGCACTGGCTGAATTGGCGTTACTCCTTTTTCTATCGTAGCTCGGCCCGTTGCGTTTCAAGCTTGTTCCCGAAGTTTCCGCTGGAACTTCGCCGAAAGTGGGTATAGTTAGACGCCGAATCCCGTTCGGACTCGCAAACACTTGGTGAACGCTTTAACGGGAATCTTTTCCTGACATTTCGCGATGAAACATCGCGTGAGAAAATTGATGATAGAGAGGAACGGAGCCGACGGAGGAAATTGTGTATCGGTTTCGGTCCGGGATTTCCGTTGCTGGAAATGAGCCGATGATAATAGAATTTCCACGTCGAAAATTGTTTGAATTCTGTACCGTGAAGCAGGCCGTCGCGATATTGGCGAGAAAGTTAGGACAGAAGTGTCAAACGCACGGGGGAAACTTTCTAAGCGCGTTTAATCCGACATCTAAAGCTTCAATTAACCAGAGTCAGAATTGGCTGCGTAGAATGTTAACAGGACCGTGTGTGTGTCGGATAATTGTGAACCGGATGGCACTTGCAAGCACCACGTTTAAAGTGCGACAATTGCAACTGAGATAAAAACATCACAACCTGCCAACAACAAACAGTAAAATATATATACCAACGATAAAAACATGCCTAACGATGCGCGATAATTTGGAAAGCGTCCAAAATTCAGTTCCTCGACTTTAATATTTGAAGAACGAATTTTCCTCATTGATCAACGCAATCCATTTGAGATAACTGTGAGATCACTAGACTGCGGATTGTATACATTAAAAAAAAAATGACTAAGAAAGGAAAGACGTTTCTTACAATTAACTTCGACAATTTTTATTTTGCATCAAAATCCACAGCTTAGTAATCACGGAAAAATGAAAACATTAGGAGAATTTGAAACTATCCTTATACATCGATTCGAACACATCAGTATTATTAAGAGCGATCGGTAGACCGCGGATTTTTGTGCAAATTTTTCTTTTCATACGTTAAAAATCGAAATTAAAGGAAAACTTCCTTCTGAAAAGATTATTCATTGTAAAAAGAAAACGAAAATGCCGTTTATAAATTTTCTTGCATTATCAAAATCTGCGTCTGCTCTAAATGCATGAAATTCGCAAATCAGCTTTGCAAAAACAAAAGTGAAATTAATCATTTAAGATTCCGAAATACTGTTGTATCGATAAATAAACGGAATCCATTGTATCGTAATCTACTTATACTATTTCTACGATACAGTGGATAAGCAAGGGAACATTCTAGATAATAACGCAAATATTAAAGCGACGTTAAAATCGAATAAGAAGGAAAGAGAATAAAAACATTCCAACTGTTTACTTGCATAATATTCGCTTGCCAGAGGCGGGTAACCCTGGGGGCGCAACGTGTTTATAAAGAGAAGTGGTCGCCATGCTGTGATCCTTTCATTAGCAGCACAATTCTTCCCGGTTTCTTCTTTTTGTTTTGTTTCTCGCTGCTCTTCCCCTTTACTAGCAGCACCGCCATAAAGAGATCGATGGAGTATGATCACAAAACTGGAACGCTGTAAATTAACGCGAGCATCGTACGCGATGCATTTCGTTCTGTTTCGCTGCGTTCAATGCATCGCATGCACAGAGTGTGCGATGCATGGTTACAGTTAATATTGAATGACTTATTTCGCTCTTCCTACGTTTCTCAGAAATAGTTGATATAATACTTCATCTAATTTTAATTTCTTCTTTATTTCTTCTTTATTTATAATTGAATTTATAATTTTCGTCCTGAGAGACACGTGGGAGTTAAAGCACGTGTGAAATTGAATTGAAACATAGCGAGAAGCATAATGTTATTATCAGTGTTTTTGAACGCAAAATCGGGACAGCAATAAAATAGTGTGATCAGCGAATTAAATATGATAGAATGAAAATATTAATAATTCTTTTTAATGTTATTATCAGTGTTTTTGATGGCAAAATCGAGACAGCAATAAAATAGTGTGATCAGCGAATTAAATATGATAGAATGAAAATATTAATAATTCTTTTTAATGTTATTATCAGTGTTTTTGATGGCAAAATCGAGACAGCAATAAAATAGTGTGATCAGCGAATTAAATATGATAGAATGAAAATATTAATAATTCTTGTTAATGTTATTATCAGTGTTTTTGATGGCAAAATCGAGACAGAAATAAAATAGTGCGATCAGCGAATTAAATATAATAGAATGAAAATATGAATAATTCTTTTGTGCTGAAATAAATGTAGTTTTTGATGCTCGTGTCTTAGCAAATTCGCAAATAATTATATTTTCTACGTGATTTTTAAAAGGAAACCAGGCTAATAAAATTGTTGCGGTAAGTAGAACCGTATTAAACGAGCACGAAAGCACAATGGAGAAATAATGACAGATGTATGTTCGACATAACCTGTGGCTGCAGTTCACGCGGAGGTGCAATGAACGCGTTCGGAAATACAATTGGCCCGGAGTCTCATTATCATAAAGCGCTGCGACGGCTATTCAAGAAACGACGAAACGATTATAATTTTCCCGGACAGCAGCGAGCCGGTCGAACAAATGTTAAAAGTTAGCCGTCTCGCGGCTCGAATTGTGCAGCGGCGATGCGCTATCAAATCAATTTATCTTCCTATCGGCGGACATTAAGAAATTCATCAGTGAACTCGTTAGATAAACGAGCCAGTCGAATTGAGTATACGTCGCGACGGTCTCTGTCCGTGGAACAATAGACGATGCCAGCGATTGTTGCGATCAAAGGGCTTTGTCCGTTCCCTGCATAGAGCGCTGCTTGAACAGATTCGCCTGGGAAGTTCACTTGGTAACCGGCCTGCGCTGTATACAGAGAAAAACACGGTCATTTATCACCCGAACTGCGAGTCGGCGAGCTCCTTGACTGACATTTTAATCGAATAGATACGCAAGCTGCGCTGCTGGCGGAAAAAAACTGCGTTGTTTCGCCGCATGCAACTGCACCCTTGTGCGCCCTCGCGTTATTCGTTGCTGCGCCGCCGACCCCTACTACGGAAACATTTATTAAAATTATTCATGAAATCGTTAGTTGCTACACGGAGGTTTCCATCGGTGCTGTCCGTGTTCTAGAAATTTTCTACTCTACTTTGTTGGAAGCGCGTGTAACAGAGAGAAATGGTTCAGAAGATTCGAAGAATCTGCAAAGAAGTTTGTGTGAAAAGCGAACAATGAGGTTTTCCGTCGAGAGGTATTTATTTCATGATTATAAGTTACATATCAGGTCGCAAATAAACATACTTTGAACGGAAAATTAATAATAAATTAGTGCATTCCATTGAAATTCATACTACGATTAACGTTGTTGCTGTTATACTCTCACAGTTTCAAAGATTAAAATTTTTGTGAGATTGTTTTTATCAACGATTTTATAATCAATGGGATCGTTTTTATTCGAGGTAAAATAGTGGACTGTAAGTAAAATATAAAGAAGCTACAATGTCCATTCGAAGAATTAGTAAGAGAATTGTGTCCGAAACATTTTTTAATTGGTCATTGTTATTGTCCAAAAATGATGTCGAAATTTAACGCGTACACTCTCTATATAATAAAAGCTATGCTATAGAAAATACAATAAACGAAAGGATAAGAAAGAAAGAAAATGGAGGAACAAACTGTCGCGCGCTACAAGAACTTTTTAATTGAAAAGATACTACGGACGATAAATTTTGTTAAACGAATGCCATCTGATAATAACTTCCGCAGGTTTGTCTCTCGTCAGTTTCCACTTAGATGTAAACTTGGACGAGTTTTACCCTCGAGAGTGGAAGTGACGTTTATTGGAAAGCACGATCGGAAATGATTCTCAACTTTGCGTCCACCGGTAGGACGCACCTCTTCTACCCTGAAGAGCAAACTTAGGTCAACACCTACAGCGAAGTCTCGAAACTTGATTTCAATTTCGATAGCGTTGCACGTAGTTTCCGTAGTTGTAAGAAACACAAGCACCGAACGATCCGACTAATTCATGCCCGTTTATCGATTTTCTTTTTCAGGAGCGCACTGTCACAGCATGCTTCACGGGAGCAGCGGCAAGAGCGCTAACAGTTTAGACGACGGTGGTACACGGTCCGGCCCGTATTTCGATTTGTCCACTTCGAAAAACGTGACCGCGCTCGTGGGCAAGACCACGTACTTGAACTGCCGCGTAAAGAACCTGGGGAACAAGACGGTGAGTAGAGTCGCCAAATGCAATACTTGATGTACAAGACCCGAATCCTTTGTAATCTTCTTAAATCTGTCCCCAACCGCCACCTCGAGGCGGCGCCTTATATTTAATGAGCTCGAATCGCGCCAAAGTTTTCGCTGAAAATTTAATGACGGTAATGTTGTTTGTCCCGCGCAGGCTCGGACGCTTACCAGTTTTCATTGCTAAACTTGTATGTTGATCCAGCCTAACTTTACTAGGCCGAGTACAGCGTAGATAAATATTTCTATTAACAATTCACTGACGTTTTCCAACTACCGTGTCGTTGCCACCTCATTTATAATACATATAGTTGTTCGTTCTGTTCTTTTCATCGTTAGATATAATAACCTAATTCTAGGAACCTTAATAAATAATAGTAAAGATACGGATAATTATTTAATACGTGAAACAAAGTCACTATTCACCCTCTCTCGATTACGAGGGATACACGTGTATACGCAATACCCGTTCAAATCCGAGTTCGCTACGCGGAACGCTTCGGCTCCGACCGAACGAGGGGAGCGTGCACACGTTGTGCTTCGGTGCACAGTTCGGGCATCATCGGTCGGAGCCGAACCGTTCCCAGTAACGCGAAAGTACCGCGCCAGCACAATACTAGAAATATTAGGGAGTGGGGATAGGTGGGAGGCTCGATCTGGTCTACCTGAAACGTGACGCGGCGGCGTGCCCCCACCACCTGCCCCACGGTGCCCCGAGCCGTAATCCAGCGCAACTTTCTGGCCTTGTTATCGACAACATTAAATATCTCGAAAACTATAAGTCGTCTGCATCCAAAACCGGGTATCATTGGATTCAGCTTCACAAGCTCCATCATTGGGCGAAATTTCATCAAAAAGTGAGCGTCATCCCTAGGAACCTTTCCTTGTTAGAAGCATAAAATATTATAAATTTCTATACTCTAATGTATTTATAACTATTTCTAACGTTTTATATATTTATATATATTTATATTTATATATTTATATATATTTATATATATTTATATATATTTATATATATTTATATATATTTATATATATTTATATATATTTATATATATTTATATATATTTATATATATTTATATTTATTTATATATATTTATATATATTTATATATATTTATATTTATATATTATATATTTCTAACGTAATATATTATTATTTTTTTAAATTGAACGACTTCACGAAAATTCGAACTTTTTGGAAACCGAGGGTGACGAGCCTATTGAATATTAAAAAATTTGAAAAAATTTAAAATTTGTAAGACAGTGTTATTTTTTCATTGACAAAGCAGCCGATGGGGTGAATTTTAATTTTGCACGAAGATCCGCAGTCTATTTATTGTATACTCGAACGGTGCTTAAGGGTTAAGCACATTATTGCTGTCACTCGGGGAAGAACGCCCCGGAAGAAAGTTCGATAGTGGGTTGTCGATGAAATCCGGCGCGATGGGAGCTTAAAAGCACCGCCGTTGATAAACAGTAGGAAATTAAAATAATTGCTGTCTGCGCACTCGCACCTAAAAGGATAACGGGGGAAAATTAATATCGATGAAAGCAACGGCTGGGGCTCCGGCAAAAAGCATGGACCTCCATCATGGAGATGGGCTCACGTGTAAACGTTTTTCCCTCTCCCCAAGGGCGAATGCAGGAAAATATCGAGTGTCAATATTTTACCAGCACAATGGATCGTCACCTGTCTGTAGCAAACTGCAGGGGATGCATCGGAAGTGCACTTGGCTACCGCCTGCCTCTCCACAATGTCATTGAACAAAGTGCACCAGTCTTCGGTATATATAACCTGCAGTATTTATTCGGCAGGGAATCCTCCGTAATTACAAGTTGTTATTTATAGCAATTATTTAATTTAAATAACTCGATAAACAGAATTTAATTAGTACAACAACGTCGGGAGAATTTTGGTGAAAATTGCTATTTATGGAGAATTTTAAAACTCGTCACATTTACACAACGATATCTACCATAATGTCGCACTTTATTGTCTTATGTTAAATAAATGATCTCTAGAGATCGTGGATTTTGAATAACAATTGATAAGTGTATACGTCGCAGTACTTGTTGTTCAATATTTAGTCCACAAGAAAAAAAAAGAAAAAACAATGCTTTTATTGTTCATTGTGCTTAATTTAATGTTCACAAAACAGATAACCTGACTGTTTTGAGAAGTGACACTCGTTTTTATAAAAAAGAATTTGGAACTTTCAACCAGTATCGCATATATTAAAAATTATTCAATGTTCTTACACATTTCTTTCTCAATTTCGACGCTTTACCCACACATTCAATACAATATTAATTATTTTGACTAACACTCAGTCTGCTGAAACAACTGATCAAGATCTTAGTGATATAAAAAAAATGTCCGTACACAATTTTCTAAACTCTTGAACGGCACGTATGAATGACGGAGATATACCGACAATAGAAATGATTTCGAAGAAGTATGAACGAAATTGGTCGCTTGAAAGGCACAGAAGGAATGAAAATGATCGTGTAAGCCGTGCAAGAACCGTGATATTTGAGGCAATTTTTCACCTGAGGAATGTGGCCACGGATATAACGATAAATCCGCGGGAAAGCAGCCCGTGTTATTCTAATCCCTGCAAGTTATTTTTTCGGACAAATTTATGCATGAAAGTTAGATATGTATATGAGGAGTCGGGGGAGAAGGTTCGATGATCATAACTTATGAAACCGTGTTTTATGAGATTTTTTTTTAGCCGACACCTAGTGGCGGAAGATTAGATTGTCCGGATTATTCACGAGCCGTTCCACAATTCATAGTTACCGGACGCGTGAAATGATTCCCTTGGTTGTAAGATACGCTGCATTCCTTACGCTTATCGGTACATTCCTTGTGCATCGATATCTACGTCATCCTGCTGTCTACGTCACTGAAATTCGAACGTAAGCAAGAACATTTTAGAAATTAAGATTTAAATTTTCAAAAATAACTCGGCTGTTTTCGACGAGTATACTCGTCGCGAAGAAATGGCAAACATTTTGCTTTACTTCGTTCTGATTTTTATGAAATAGAGATTCACATAAAAATCCGCAGACCAACTGTAAAAAGCAGAAACAAGCGAAAGAATTATTTTTGGCACTGTTACATAGAAATGTTTGCAATTCATGTTCGAAAAGATTCGTATATTCGACCGTTCATCTGCCAACTCGTGGAAAACATTTTAGATGGAAATGAAATGGATTACGAAAGCAGAAGGTGCATGTTTTAAAATGAGGTTCTCTAGTGCGAATCTTTCTCCACGGGATTCCGATAGAGTAAATACCGAACATTTTTAGGAAATCGCAAAGAGCATCGGGGGCCGCTCCGAATTTTCGGAGCCACGGTATTTCACGGACGTACTTATGCGCTGTACGTGTTTATTCCTCATTCATCATATCGTAAACCGGATATTCCGGAGTATCGGGGATCCGAATGTACACGGAGTTCAGCGGTAATCGGATTTGCGTGTTGCGTCGAAGAATACTTGTCCACGAATCGGCGACGAAAGTATCTTAACGCCCGCCTCGGCTAATCTTTGAGCGGATTCGGTGTTCGTTGTTGAAAAAGGACCGGTAAACCGTGTCCGCTCATTCATATGTATGCGGTAACCCAGTTCCGACAAGCTGGCCCCGGGAACGGCGCATTCAAAATTCGTGCCGTAGACGCGGCCAGTCAATTTTTTGACCCCCCGGGCCGGCCGTTCGGGAAATTTTAATGAAGCCGTGTAGGATCAGTCGCGAAACGCTGCCGGGAAATTGACTCGAGTAATTACACGCGCTCGCGCTAGCAGATCGACACGGCTGGAAGGCCGCCGCCGCGCGTCGCTCCTAGCTTTACTCGACCTGGCAATTAACGAGAACGTAAAACGAACGGCGAAACAACGCGATGATGAACACGCGGAAACGCGATTGGAACTTCGCTGCCGGTCGATTGTGTCTGTTTGAAAGGAACTGCGGCGGATACGTAATTTCCGCGAGCCGAGGTGTTTAGTACGACCATGGTCGGGGATCGTTCGGTAATTGCGTTTGCATGACGACTTCTAGGATCCTGCAAGAAACCTATTGACTCGCTCCGATCGTTTTCTCCGTTAAATGTCGTCAAAAATGGCTGGATGGCTTGCCGCGGAAATTGGATAACTTTACGTAAAGGCCAGTCGGTTCTTCCACGAACTCGACGATGTGTAAGCGTTGATAAGGTTTAATAATTAATATTCAATGTGATATAATACGAGAAAGTGTAGGTATTATAGAAAATCTATAACAGACCGGGCGTCCTTACTTGAATAAATATTGTTGCGAATTACACCATTTCTCTCGCGTCGCGGCATTTTATTTACAATAAAGAATATTAACTATGACACAATTCGATACAAATACGATTCAGATCTTTCAGAAGTGGGATGTTGCTCGTTCGACGGTCCGATCTCGACTCTTCGATTGTCCGTTGGTAACACTCTTTTTTGCGTGGCAACCCCTATCTTCTATTATTCTTTAAGGAGTTGTTCGCAACAGGGCAGTTTCACATTACAGCGACTTGATTTGGACAAGTCGCCGTAACAATATTAACGCAAAACCAAATTAATGAAAGCATGGAAAATTAAACCTTGAATACAAAATGAGAAAGAAATTCGATGTTAGGGTCACTAATGACCCTGGTATACCAACTAGAATTTAATTGTTATTACTATTCGTAACCCTTAACTACGGGTTAACTAAGTTTCTTTTGTTCAGAATTAACTAGAATTAAAAATTTTATGAACAAGTGAATTTAAATTTAATCAAATTTAAATAGCTACGAATAAGATGATCTCTGCGATTTTTTGAAAAATTGCAAAGCGGTCCTTCTACAGCTTTCCGAATAATTTGTATCCTATTCGAGAAATATATATGAACTATTTTTCTTGTTGAAAAATATGTGGTAGAAATGTACATAAACAAATGTATACTTACAGATGTCA